AAAGACAACTTGGATAAGCTCTGTTTATTAATCATGAGCAAAAACAAATCGAAAACGGATATGATTCCCATTAATGAGATCAAACAAAAAATCATTGAAAAATGGAAAAACGGAGATGTAGCTAGTGCTCTCACAGGAGTGCGTGGTACCAGTCGTGCTCAGCCATCGAAATCAAACTCTGTACCAATAGCATCGATGGAGCTGACTTCTGATGATCGATGGCATCCAAAACGAAATCGTCGTGGGAAATAAATTCATGTAAATAAGGGAGAATGTGCACATGAGTGTGACATGCTACCTTACACACAAATCACGTCTTTACCATTATCTAAATAAATTGTTAGCAATCATTCACCATAAAAATTACATGACATGAGGAATCCCTGAATAAATATGTTTTTCTTTTTATTTGTGCATACTGATTACTTTTCATAGAATAAATTCAAGTATCATTTTTTTTCCTTATCATAAGGGTATGTTTGATTATTCGATTGAGTTTTATTCTATGTCAGGTCTCTATTTTTCATATTTGAAAATCAGGATGTTGGTGTGAGATAGAGTCCGATGGTTCGACAAAATCTGCAACCGAAAACTGAACCAGAACGAACTTTATTGCCTATGATAATTAGTGTCATACAAGTGAAGACGGCTGTAGCGAAAACAATTATGTGACCTAAAATGATGATGCTGTTGTTAATGATGACGATCATAAAGACCTTAATAATAAATTGAACAGCCAAATTTTAGCTTGTTTTGAGATGTAATATTGTAGATGTTACTGCTGTTTTACTTTCTCTTGTACTTTTTTAAATCAATGGGATCGGCAAAACCATTCATTATTTCTAATGTCAAGAATCAAGCGATACGAATTTCCAAAAAAAAGTTCATTAATTAGGTAATAATTGAAGATTTCTGGTTTCATGTTTCCCCGTTATATTTTTGGAACCGAACTGGAACTCTTTTTTTTTTAAAACTCGAACGACCGAACTCTAATATGAGGATCATGAAGATCAGCACTCACATCCTTCTTTCATATCCAGCTACAAATCCTTAGCTGTTTCTTCTTCAAATCAATCACTCGAAATAAGAAGAATTCAGAAATGGTGTGGGTCGATGCGGATATCAGAACAACAGACACAACAGGCGCATGTGCAACCTCGGCGAGGGGATGCAAGTATTTGTATTTTTTCCACAAAGGAGTGGGTGTGGGTGTGAGTGAGTGGGGATAGATGTGAGTGGGTGTGGGTTTAGTTCTTCTCTTCAACTGCACCCACACCCTATCAGCTCAACAGATATGTGATAAATAAAATGAATACCTGATTTTTTTTCGATCATGTTTTGGTTCACAATAGTAGTAAGAGAGTCAGGAACTGTTTACAATTGACTGAAATCTGAAATTATCAACAAACAAATTAGCGAGAATTTAATGGTAGCTCAGAATATTAAGCCAGTTGTATGTACTGTTTGGAAACTTCAAGTAGGACTGCCTAATAGTGATAGAAAATAGATGCTCATCTCCAAGGTTTATGCTGTTTCGAGTTTATTAAGTAGTATACTATTTTAAGTGTTTAAAATTATGTTTTTGTCTCTGACCATCCTATAGAATAAGAACAAAATGTTATTGGTTAGCAAAAATATAAAACGAATCAGTTAGTTTGTTGATTGCGAATATTTTAAATCAGGGATAGATGGAGAGCATACAATGATAATAGCGTAGCAGTCAATTCAGAATACACTGGCTGGAGAAGAGAATGATAAAATCGTTGTTTTGATTCAGTTTAATACAGATTTCCCCATTTATCTGATTAAGCAGTGCTCACGATCAAATGATAAATATTTTTGTTTTATCGTGATACAATTCTATAGCCATCAAGACTAGGTGGCATTTCTTTTATTATTTTTGAAATTGAGTTCGAGTTATAGTTTATAAGAAAAACATGCTGTTTTCTTTTTTATGAACAGTAATTTTATTCTCTCATATTTCCGATCTTATTTTATGTTAGAAAGGCATTAAAAAATGCATTAATCGAAACAGTCTATCAAGCTGCATTTATTGGCTTCTTTTGAACTGAAATACAAAAATTTCAAAATATCCATAACAACCGAAAGCTGAATTTCGAAAATGAGGGTGAAGATGAGGGTAGGTGAGGTTGAGAGCGGGTGAGAGTGGATGAAGCGAAGATCCTTACCCTCACCCACCACCCTCAAGAACATATAATGATCATCCTGCGAAGAAAAAAAGAATTATCATTGTTAGTTGTTCTGATAATATCTGTCATGAAACTTTGATATTGACTTAAAGGTGAACGGCAAGCAGACATTATCTTCTCTCGACACCCAATGTGACATTATAGCTCAAGTACATACCTGGCCTAAGAATAACTCGACAGAATACTCTAGAAAATTTAAAAACTTTACCAAAACTTGAACCAATATCAACAAGAAAAATGTTCTATATTAATTAAGTATGTGCTGAACACGGTAACAGACCAGAAATCCTCGGTTCGGTTATACTCGAGTTTGGCTATATTCAGTACCGGAAATCCTACATTCAGTCATTCACTTAATTGCAACAATAGTAATCAATAATATAAAGTAGTTCGTCATCGAATAGCGGAAAATTTGTGTGCTTGAATTTTTCATCAGAGAAATCGAACAGACGTTATTCAAGCCTCGACATCACACTTTGAATTCAATAGTTGACTTGCTTGATTTATCCAATTTGTTTTTTTCTATACATTGTTTATAAAAGCTAGTTACCTTTCAATTTTAAGAGCAGTGAGCATGAAGAAAATATGTGACAATTTCAAATATGGAAACGAAACATATAGGGAAATAAATGTCTTGAAGTTCACTATTTCTATTTGGATAGGACAAAGAAAAATAAATTTAAAAAAAGACAAAAAAAGAAGATAACGATCATTACATTTTCAATGTTATATTGTTGATCTTCTATGTGCTTTTCTTAATTGTGAGAATTTAATAGCAGTGAATGGTGCATTATTGACTTCTATATGATACTCAGGGATATAACGATATAAATTTAATGTAATCATATGTTGATCTTTTTTGACCAGTGGCAATTAAATGGCAAATTAACAGACTTATTCAAAGATAATAAAAACTCCTCCGATCACAAATAATAATCTTATATTACAGCATTATAAAGTGTTTCGCTTTACTCGCTTTCTTTTGATACAATCATGAGATGCACACCTATACATTCAGACTAGAATAAACTAAAGATGAAATTGATTTTTTTTTCCATTGGCGATGCTTTTATGAATTCATATAAACACTATTGCGAACGATAAAACAATTTCATATGACGCATTTCATCATAATAAGTGTATTTTAATAGAATTTTCTTCCCGTGTATGTTGTGACTTCTAACGCTAGAAGAATCATTTATATAGTTTCTTTTGGTTGAAAAAGTAAATAAAAGCATTATTCTATCGCATTTGCAAAGGTACTTAGAAGAATAACCGATCGAATGTCATTTCACACAGGTAATGATAATGAAATATTTTGTTTGATTGTTTCAAATGTGAATTATCTTTTTTTAGGATATGAAATCTTCAATCATTTACATCTGAACAATTCTTCTATTGATCATCATCTTGAAATGCTCTCAAATAATGTCAGTTTCATTAAATCTTTGTTTTCTTCATAGTGCAGTAAATTGTTTGATTTAGCAGCATCATTTATCAATAAGGAGAATAAGATCTAAAAGCATCATTCATGCAACTATTCGACCATTACGAACCACTGAATCTATGAAGAGTAACTCTATTCAAAGGAATGATAACTTATGTTCAGTTAGATTTTCTCAATTTTTGATTATTTTATATATCTTTCTTATCGAAATAGATTTCAAATATTCTCAATGTTGATGATGATCAAGATCAATCAAAAAATTCTTTCATCACTGAGAAACCATCGAAATTTCAAAATAATTCAATAAATTCTGTCATTGTTACTAAAATTCATCGTCATTTTCATCCTCAAACACAAGTAAGTTTAGTTTGATATTCCGAATACTAAATATCTTTCTTACAATTGTAAATCGACAATATTTGCGTTTATTTTACTGGAATATTTCATGTATTCAAAATCTAATTTAATAGTATGTTTCTTATTATAGGCAACTAAAACAATATGGACAAGCAACAATTTCAATGGACTATTGCGGTACAAAATGAATGATCTTTCTGGAACAATCTCGAAAATTAGAAAATATCGATCAAAGTCATCTAAAGTGGCTCATTGCGCAGTAATTTCATTTTTTAAAATTATGTATTGTTTTTGACAAAAATACACTAGAGAAAAGATGCATGGTCGGAGAATTTCAATGACACGAATGATCATCATCAGGATCCGAAGAAGAATCAAAAGAAAATGCAAGTTTTCTCTTATTACTTATCTCATATTTCGTTTATCTGACCGTTTAACATTCTTCGTAATATAATATAGGTGTTCGAAACAATGTGTAGCAGCCTTATTTATCAGTATTCTTCTTGTTATTGCGCTTATCATCACAATACTTCTCATTTTTTTGGTCAAACCACAAACAACAAATAGAAACACTAGTAGTAAGATAATAATATTCGAATCAACATATAAAAGATTCCAGCCGAAACATCTGGATTGTTTTTCATCTTAACCTCCAAACACTTTCTGTTTATGTGAAACTATTTTAATGAAATTCTTCATAAATTAGCAAAAAACTGTATCGTTTTTTTCTTCAAATAGCTAATATGAAAGTACTATTGCCAATAGACCATATGCATATGATAGAAGAGGAACTACCAGAACCATTTTTCGAACAAATATATCAAAGAATTATTTCAACAAATAGGATTAAAAGACAGTTTTAATATATCCTTGGTTCTAAAATAGTCACCTTTCCTGAGAAACATGATTCGACATTAGTTCACTGAAGACTTTTTAGAAATGCTACTAAAAACTAGCTTACATATATTGCTGATTTTCTTTTACAGCTAAAGTAGCATTGCTTCGATGGAATACATCTGGAATTACTATAGCTGGTGTAACAAATATGTCTGGAAATACTTCTAATCAGTTGAACGAGCCATGGGATCTGGCATTAGATTGGTCAAATGCATTATATGTTACTGATCAGAAAAACAATCGAGTTCAGAAATTTTTGATGGGCATGTCGACAGGTACAACTGTTGCTGGTCAAGCCAATGCAACTGGAGGGTTAACATTGAATTATCTGCGTGGACCGTTGGGTATTGTTGTCGATGAGTACAGTAATATCTATGTAGCAGATAGGAATAATGATCGAGTTGTTGTTTGGTCCGATGGCGCATTATCTGGCTCTCTATTTGCGGGAACTGGTAAGTGGAAAATGTTCGCATACAATTGTTTTAGGGTACATTAATCATCTTAGAATATTTTCAATGAGTTTATTTATTCATACTTGCTAGTCATTTTTTTCACTTAATATCAATATGTATTATGTAGGTACTGCTGGTATTTCAATGAATCAATTGAGCGAACCGTATGGCCTCGCACGTGATTCAAGTTCCGATACAATTTATGTAGCAGATTTTAAGAATCATCGAATTATGCGTTATTCCCAAAGTAATTCTTCAGGTACGCTAGTTGCTGGTGGAAATGGTAATGGAACAAATCAGACACAATTGTTATTACCAAATGCTATTTATTTCGATTCATTGTCGAACAGTCTTCTCATTGTAAATACAGGTGCTCACAATATTGTTCGGTGGGTGTTAGGTGCCAGTAATTGGACACTTGCTGCAGGTAATATTAATGGAACAGCTGGTACATCATCAACACATTTAAAGTCTCCGACAGATGTGACACTCGATCCGATGGGTAATATGTATGTTGTTGATAGAAACAATCAACGAATACAATTCTTTCCAGTTGGTGAAACAAATGGTACAACTATTCTTGGTACAACAGGCATAACTGGCAGTAACTCTACTCTTTTCGATACACCCTCCTCGATCATACTTGATAATCA